CATCGGCCTACCAGTACTCGGTACTCCCATTCTTAGCACGATTCCTCACGTGGGAATAAACGGAAATTGAGAAGTTGAAGGTGGACCTGTCTCCATGACAGATGTGGTAACCGTGTCGACTTCTTACTTTAAGTATTTTGTTATCTTTGAGCATTTACTCTTGAGCTTTTTGGACCCCATAGTTTATCTTATTTTTGCTCTCCGTGAATGGAACCACTTTTTTGCTATAAATTTTGATATTATCATAAAAATATAGTTTTCTATCTATTTATCTATCTTTAGTGCATCTATGATTCCAAAAAAATTTAAAAACCAAAGTTTTACAAGAAATAAGGGGACACAGTGATAATTGGAACAACAGGCCAACGCATAATGCAGCGGCCTGAAATCAAAAAATTATTATTTTTATATAGTATCTCCGTTGTCACCTGGCTTAGTCTGGTAAGATGCTTATGTTATTAACGTTATATATGTATTTTGTACATAGTAGCCCTGTGCAGTTGCCCACAACATACATGGCGACGATTGGGACAGCAATAGCGTTGGTGAAACAGGCCAAAAAGTGCAGATCAACATTCATGAAACAAACTAGTGGCTCGGAGACTAAAACCAAACTCGCGGCTTGCAGCAAACATCGACAAACCTGGCCACTGCTTAGATATTAAAGGAGCGACCATCGTTGTCAGAGGTACCACAAAAACAGAAAGATTGACGCTTGACGCACTCATATGCCACCTCCGTCAACAGTCTTCTAGGCCTTCCCTTTCCCTACAAGGTTATACGCCATTATGCGAGTAAAGGACAGAAGAATGTCCAACCTAAAGTAAGAATTGCAATCCAAGAGTACCTCCATACAAACTGGCCGTATAAGATGGCAGGGTTACCAGAAGCCTTTACCGTGAGACAAGGCGCTATACTTATTGTTGTTTATGACCCCGAACTACCCCCGTCTTCACTCACAGTTAAATAGCGTTTACCACTATAATTGCCACCCCCTATCATTTTGGTTCTGTTTCTTACTCCTTGATGACCTGATGACGTCTGACAGTTGATTGGCCTATACCCACTATAATTACTCTCCTTTTAACTACTCCTGCCTATCTCTGAAGATAAACTCCTGTAAGCGATCAAAAACTGAAGACCATACAAAAACTGATACGCCATTGGACAATATTTCTAATTTAAAAAGTAAAGGATCCTCTCGATACAGTTGATGGTTTTCCGCTTAAACATTCATATCGACATTACAGTGTCTGCACATGAGAACCTTACCTAGTTTGCCGCATGTTTATTTAGGTTTACTTTTCGATCTTGAAATAACTTTGCTTTTGCATAGGTCTATCCAAATAGACTTCTCGAAATGGTTAATTTGACCGAAGCTTCAGTTGAAAGTCGCGGATGGCGCACAGTTAATGTGAAGGTGTATATGCAAAATAATAATTTCCAAAGCATTCGAACGATCTGTTTACTACAGTTCATTCTGCACGGTCAAAGCATTTCTGAATATCTCAACGGTAAGCCTTTCATCTCCTCTTGCGATCGAAAACGATTCCATGCTATAAGGCATGTACTGCATTGGTAACAACAAAAACCTTCAAGAGATTCGTCTCTCGGCTCCAGTATGGAACAGAAACGGTATACGTGAATCGGCCACACCAATAATAAACGTGAACATTTTAAATGTTTACTTGATTCTATTTTAAGTAACAATTTTGCGGAAAATATCTTTAAAAACTAAAATTATATATTGCAAGACTGGCCCGACCTCTGTCCTTCTCATCACATGGCTCCTCTCAACTTATCATCAGGACTAGAACCGTCTGAAAAACTTTCCATGCGGTATCGTGGTAAGATAAAACATGTCTATGCCTACCAAAACAAAATTTTCAAAATATTTTTAGTAACCACATTACTCTGTGCGCTCAAACCTGTGTTCTGAAGGCTATTTAAGTCGATAACATTCTCCTCAAAAATAGAAAGAGACTAAGCTACATCTTAGTCACCTGGTAATTATAAACTGGCCCTGTTTTAAACGATTAAAGTAACACAAAGAACGAACTATCTCAATCAGTAAAAACTCAGCGAACCGCCTGGTAGAGTATAGGGAGATAGAATTATCCCAAAATTTGCTAGCATAAGGGTTAGGCAAAGTCACAGTGCGAAATTTATAACTGCGTTAGTGAGTTAAGTGCAGACCTCACCTCTGCCGTCAAGTGCGTTAAATGTCCACAAGTTTTTTTCTAAACAAGATCAAAATGTGGGTCTTAGGAATAACTTCAAAGTCCGCGATCTTTACCAAATATGAAGATAACATACTTCCCAAGTTTATTATGGAAGTGTTTTATATAAATCTATAAAGTAGATTGTTGCACGACAGTTGTTGCAGGGGGTTTTACATTTGAAGCTTATACAACACTTTTCTATCTAAGTAAATACATGCGCAAGTTTCAGTGAAAATGTATTTCTTAACTTGGTTTTCTCTTCAAAATGTGTACAACCTGAACTTACAAATAGTAATCCCTATAAGTTCTCATGCAACAATTTAGAAGCATTTCCCCTTATTTTGATTAAATTGAAGTAATACTCTTGCCATTTGGCATTAAAACATGAAGATAAAAATATCAGCTCATTATTAGATGGTGGAATAAGAAGAAACCGGCTATGCTGAATAGGGATGCTAAAAAGTTAAACTACTTAAGCAAAGGAGTCACGTAGTTTATTGTCAGAAACTTTTAAATATTTGGTTTACTTTAAAGATAAATGGATTAATTGTTACGAATTTATCGTCTATACATTCGAACAAAAAAGGTCGCGTTCGTTTTAAGAAAGACAAGCTCGAAACAAAACATATGTAGCATAGTTTTGCAATCTGTAACATATGTACTAATGTCCAAAAATCAGATCAGATCACTACAAGTCACGCACCAACGCTAGCCTGCTGGTCACTGCAATGTGCGAGCTTGTGTATCATTGTGCTAAGTCTTGGAGATCTATTTAGCACAGTCAAGCCATTCGGTTGTTTCCGAGAACATGGTGCCGTGACTACGAACATATTATAAAATTGCGAACAGCTCATTATCGGCCCACCCCGTACCATTCAAGGAGAAAAACATATTACAATGCGCAACAAAAATAAAGAAATCAATGCACTGTGTTATTTCTTCCTTAGAATTGTTCTGAAGAACGCATATTTCACGCATGGTAGGCAAAACTGATAGGTGTACAATGCTAAATCTTTGCCATTGACACTCTTATTGATTCTGTTAATCATCTAACATATAAAAGCAAACACCAAGTTGGTACTAAGGACCGATGCGAAAATAGATGCTGTATTTTGGCAGTTCCAGGATTAGCTGCTCCCATGTAAATTCGTCACAACCTGTGCAATAGACTTTGAAAGCACCTTCTGAGTTCTCCCTATCGTGCGCTCCCCTGCAGCCCCATGAAATTACATCAAGGCCTTCGGTTAAAGGGTCATATCAGATGAGAGCAGTTGTTGTATCTGAAAGACTAGCTACAGTATCACTTTGAAATAGGAAGTGACGTCTTATCTTTTAAACCTTACTAAGTTTGCCTATATTCTGGCACTTACACGTTCATTGTTCTAAGAAAGTCCTTCTGGGAACCACCTTAGCTGCAAACAAAAATGAACACTGTGGTGTGAGCTGCTGCCGGTGATGTTAACACCGCACTGTGCAATTCCTCCATTGCAATACCACTTTACCATTTTATCCCCTCTTAAATCATAGAGGAAACCATAAGAAAGGTTTCTGATGGAAATAGTTATAAGGATCAGAATGTGATTTTGATGCCAAAAGTCTTTGCATTGTGGACTGGCAAAGGCGTAAGTTGCATTCACTGTTCTTGTTAACCTAGAATTAAATTACATGAATTAATACGAGCTTATAAAATGCCATTTAATATGACTTGAATTCACAAAACTGCTCACATTTGGTTTCCACGAAATTGCGGTTTTCTTAAACTTTGTAATTTGATAGAGTTTACGTGTTTTTGTGTATATGTTTCGCAATCCTTGAAGTGTGTTTCCTTCTTTAATGTGCTTGCCTGCAACATGTTTGATGGCCTGTTAGATCTACCACGAGCTTCCAAGTGTACCGAAGTGACTTCAAATTCATTATGCTGTCAGTGTTTTCCCTCAAAACGCACCGAACTATATGTGCTAGTTATTTCCCATAAACAATGTCGTACAACGTCATTAAAACCTTGTTATGTTTACACACGAAAATGTGTACAAACGTCAGGGGAATGAGCTGACCATTAATTAGGACACAAATCAGCTAGCTTTTGTTATTTCTGTGTACGTTAATCTGTGCTGTCCGGTTAAGGGGAGTTGCATTGGCAAACGGAAGGAAAAATCAAGAGTTGTAAGTTTACGGTAAGTTTAAGTGCATAAAACGTATGATGTGAGTTAAAATTAGTTGAGTTCGAAAGCATTTTCTGCTGTTCAGTAGCGTTTTGG